CAGCAAGCCCGGAGCAGGCAGGTGACCTCTGGGCTGCGTTGCTCACAGTCCCCAACCCTGCAGGTGCCCTGCAAGTGCTTGATAGAAGTGTGCTAAAAGAATGGATGGACTCTGGAAGGTTCCAACAACTCAGGAAGGACACGTAGCATGTGGTCATTAGTGCACAGGACTGAGCAGGAATGGGAGGTGTGCATCTACTTTGGTAGGGTGTGATTGATGGTGGCATGCCTGTGACCCCAGCTGCGTGGGATGCTGGGGCAGCAGGGACACTTGAACACAGGAGTTCAAGACCAGCCTGGGCAGCACACGAAGACACTGTCTCAAAACCAAGGTATCCTTTTAAGAAAGGGCTAGGGGTGTAGCTCACTTGCACATGTAATTACACAATAGTCATACATTTACACACATACACTTATGCACACTCACTAATTACGCAATAGTCATACATTCACACACATGTACACTCATGCACACATACTCCCACACACATGCACACATTCATGCACATACACACTCAATACGCAATAGTCATACATTCACTTATGCACACTCACGCACCCACACATAGATACACCCATTCATACTCACACAAACTTTACACACTCACACACATTTGTGCACACCTATACACACACGCACACATAAGCACACACACGCATGCAAATATGCACACACGCATGCACAGACACCCTCAATCTCACACACACAGATACGCATACCCTCAATCTCACACACACTGGCACACATACACACTGACAGAAACATACTCACACACACATACACTAATACACACTCACAAACTCACACATATAAATAAACCCTTTCATACTCATACACTCACATACTCTCATGCACACTCACACACAATACACATTCCACACACTTGCACTCATAAATGCACCCATACACATGCACACACTTATACACACTCACATGCTCATTAACATGCACACACTTACACAGATATGTGCACACCCATAGACTCATACAGACTCACATGCACTCACAACACTTACACTCACATATACATTCACACACATACACATATTCACACACTCACACATATATACACCCTTTCACACTCATGAACACTCACACACCCATACATGCTCATGCACACATGCACACTCACACACAAACTCAAACTCACACACACAGGCACACACATACACACTTAAACATACAAAGACATGCACACTAACACACACATCTACACTGACACACCCAAGCACACATACACATATGCATAGTCTCACACACACATTCAGATACACTCACATACCCATACACACATGTACACTCATGCACACATACTCCCACACACATGCACACATTCATGCACATACACAATACGCAATAGTCATACATATACATGTACACACTGACACATATATACCCTCGCCCTCACATGCATTCACACACATATACACTGTATCAAGCACTCACAAATTCATGCACACACACTTCCACACACATACACACTCACACATTTGCACATACACTCACAAACATACACACACATACATACACACCAATACTCATACAAACACACTCACTGACACACACACCCATACACTCACATACACATATGCACACTCACACCACATACACACTCACACATTTATCCACACTCACACCACATACACATGTACACAGACACACCCACACATATTCACAACACACTCACAAAGATACACACTTTAACATGCACACTCACACAAAAAAGCACACACAAACACACATATACATACACACAAACACATACACACACACACACATTCTCCACTTGCTCCTTCCCAGATCCCAGCACTGTGGAGCTGAGGTTATCCATACTCTGAAATAGCCTCAGAGCTGGAAGGGAGCTTGAGACCCTCAGGTTCAATGGCAGCTGTATGCACAACAGATATATGGGACCCAGAGAGCCTGAGCCCAGCCACTACAAGAGAAAGAACTAGGATTAGAACAGAAGATGAGGCTTCCTAGTTTCCCACCCATCCTTCTCCCATTGGCTCCTTGCTTGGATGGGATATGAGAAACTTCACCCAGCTTTGGGAGGAGCGACCCCCACCTCTGCAGGGCCCACCCAGTGGGCCTCCGGTGCTGCCCCACCTGTTGTTTTGTTGTTCTGCTGATACTCTGGGCACAGAACATTTTCACTTCTGGTCCCCTAGTGTGAGAATTCACCAGGCCACTGGCTTCCTGTTTTGTACCAAATCTGCTTAAATATCACCAATTCTAGATGGTTTTTGATCACTAAGCAAATTTTTAAAAATATAATATTGACACTCCCTTGCGCTCCTACTTTGAGTTTCCCAGACTCTGGGAGCAGAGAGAGGACACCATACATGCTGCCCTCTTGGTTCCCATCATCTGGTCCATGGGGCAAGGCCATGAAGACTCGAAGGAGAACCCAGAGTAAAAGAGCCCGTCCTCAGCTGCCAGGATCCTCATGGTTTTAATCGTCTCTTGGGTTGTTCCTTAGGTAGAAGACCTCACCATCTGTGAGTGCCCTTCTCTAGAAGTTTATCTGCTCAGGAGCACAGAGTTGGATGTGGGTGAAGATGTGGAGAGGAGATCAAATTGCTGGTTTTCAGAACACCTAAGACTGAGCCAGGCAAAAAGCCCCACAAAAGATGCCCTGAAGAAATTGAGCAGCCTTTCCACCTGATTTCCTGAGAAGTTGCTGCCTAGGGCCAGGACCAAGCAAGGCTCCAGAGAGAGCTCAGAAGGACTATCAGGCCTGATTCTGTCTCTAAGAAGTGGCCCCCAAATAGGAGAGAGAAAGAATGAATGAGCACAAGGAAATCATCACGTTATGGAAGCCAGAGAGTGTTTATGATTCAAATCACAAGAGAACAAGAGCTGCAGGTTTTTGAGGCAGCTTCCTGGAGAAGCAAAATTTGAGCTGGCGTGAAGGATGGGCAGAAGGTGATGCCTCGGGGTCAAGGAGGGTATGGATAACCAAAGGAAGAACGAGGAGTGGCCAGTGAGATGCTCAGAGCTGAGATGGGGCCAGGAGGCCTGAGAGTCCTGCTCATGGTAGCAGTGGACACAGAAAGGAGACCTGCTGGAGACAGGGGCTGGTTTCTTGGGGACCAAGGACCTCAGGGTCACTGCTGGCTTGGACTGAGGGTACAGGTGGGCAACAAAGGGTTATAAGGAGAGTAAATTCTCTCCAGGCCTCGAGCAGACCACTTCACTGTGCTCTCAGCCTATTTCCTCACCCCTGGGGTTGGCAGGCTACAGTGCGGATGTGTGAACGGAGACCCCACCCTGCACCAACGTGTGCCCGCCCCACAGAGGTTGGTGTTTTCCTTCCAGGGAAAGAGTGGCTTGGTTGGGAACGGTCTAGTCTTCAATCCTGGGCAGATCTCAGCAAAGTCCAGACAATGCCCAAGTAGCAGTTAGAATCTTGGCCCATTGGGGTCTAGAGCTACTACAACTCATAAATGAGAGCATTGGGACTATACTTTGTGCTTGCATCTTTTGTTTATTGAGCACCCACTGTATGACAGCACTTATGCTAAACATGAATACAGATAATTTTTAAAAAGCAAGACAAGGTAAGAGCCAGGAGGATCCTTGAAGAAATAGTCCAGTCTTTTGATTTCCTGGTGCTGAAATAGATGACCAGAGAGGTGGAGTGACTAACCCAGGGACACATAGCATGGCAGGGCAATGTCAGAATCAGACTCTATTCTCCAGAGCTCCATCCTTACCTCACTAAGCCCGGAGGCCAGGCTGCATCCAGGAGGCCACAGACTCTGCTCAGGCTCCAGTGCAGACAGTAGTGAGCAGCTGTGGAGCTTTAGGCAAAGCATGCTACCTCTTGGAACCTCTCAGCTCCCATATGTAAAGTGGGACCAATCATAATTCCTGTGTCACAGGGTTGCCACAATGTCCAAAATGCAATAACAAGTCAGAAAAAAAGTTCCCTCTTCTAGGACAAGGCCAATTTTCAAGGTTATATTCGCTGTTTCCTCTTTACTCCACAAGCACTTATCGAGCACCTCTATGTGCTTCAGTTTTAGGGGCCCCTAGAGACCTATAGGACCTAACCTTGCCTGCAAAGGGCTCAGCTTGGTTGGGGAACAAGACAAATGGAGCAAACACGGCCCTCTACAACCAGGATCAAAAGGGGTGGTATCTGAGTCTCGAGTCCTAAGAAGAGTTGCAGGAAAAATGGGACTTGAGCCACACTGTGCAGGGGCGGGTGGGGGATAAGAGGGCACTCTGGGCTGGGGAACAGCCCTGACCAGGAGAGGACCTGGGAATGGGCAGCCCACAGTACTGCAGGCTCCCAAGGATGTGTCTCGACTCATCTGCTATGGCCTGAAGGAGTGAAGAGGGAGGGAGATGGTGCAGCAGAGGCCCTGGCACAGCAAGGGCTGGGCGCCCAGCCAGGGCCCAGCCCACAGACCTGTAGCCTTGATTTCTAGGAAGTTCTCCTCTCTTATTTATGAGCAAGTGGGAATCTGGCCCTTCAGAGTCCTCAACAGAAACATGTGGAGTCCTAGGGTGGGGCCACGGGGGGCCAAGAAAGCTCTGCTGGGCTGCGGAAGTAAGGAAAATGATGGGGGAGGAGAGGGGACAAGGAGCACGTCAGAAGGCCCCAAAAGAGGAAGCAGCCCACTCTCAGTTCCGCTCCCAAGGATGGGAAATACCCTCCATTCTCCCAGTCCTCAGCAGCTGTTCCTGCATCCTCTCCTGAAGCCACCAGACCTGGGACCAGGACCACTGGGTTGAGCCCCAACCTCCTTTCAAGTGTCCCTGAAGCTGGTGGGTCCCGAGCACTTTCAGGGACCCTTGAGCAGCCCTGCAGGGACTGCAGACCCCGGATTCACACTGAGAAGGGCATGATTGAAAGCGTCACTAGGAATGGACACCCTATAGGTTAAACTGTGGGTCTAAGCCAGGTGCCATGGCGCATGCCTGTGATCCCAGCAGCTTGGGAAGCTGAGGCAGGAGGATTGCAAGTTCAAAGCCAGCCTCAGCAAGTAAGTGAGACCCTGTCTCTAAATAAAATACAAAAAGAACTGGGGACATGGCTAAGTGGTTAAGCATCCTTGGGTTCAATGTCTGGTACTAAAGTGGGTAGAGGAACCTGTGGGTCTAGTTCTCAGAGCTGAGATCCAAGGAAGAAGGAAGCCAAAGTCAATCCGTCTCCTTTTCTCCATTTCTCCCAAGAGACCTTCAAGGAAGAGAGGGAATCCAAAGCCATTAAGGGCTCTTCTCCACTCCCACCTAGTCAGAGGTAGAAGACCCAGTAAAGTCTTCCAAAAAGACTGTGTTTATAAAGTCAAGGCTTGGTTACGTGGAGGACGACGCAGGAATCCCCTGACAGGAAGTGAGGGGGGAGGGGTTGGCAAGGCCACTCTCCTTCCTTCTGCTCTGCTAGATCCCAAAACCAGAAAGAAACAAGGCCTCAGGAAAAGAAAGATAGGAAGATAAATCACATGACCCCTCTCCCCCTCCCAGTCAGCTGCCTGGGGCTCCTAGTGGCCTTGGTGCTGGACAATGGCAGAGAAGCCAGGGCTGTAGTTGTGTCAGCAGGTTTCAACAGCCACAGCTGCTGATGTGAGGATCCCCTCTCACGTCCTGCTCCATCCACAGCTGCCTGGGGACTCACCCCCTCTGGATAGAACAACAGCATCATCAAGGACGGACTAAGTCAACACCCCAGGGCCAGCTCCGCCTCTGGCCCAGTAGGTCCCTCTACAGGAAGGAGTGATGACTGGCAAGGCACATTGTCCTGCTGTCCTCGGGTGACAGCTGTTTCTTCCTTTCTCTTGTTCTTATCTGCTTCCCTCAGCCTCGCCTGGGTTCCTCTTTCTGCTTTCTCCACTCCACCACTCCACCACTTTCTGCTTCCCAGGGCCGACTTGGCTCAGGAAACCCAGGGCACTGGGAGATACTGTCCCCTGTGCCCCATGCCCACCCTGGCACAGGAGCCCAGGCTACTGGGACATTTCTAGTCTATTCTCAGAACTATCAATCAAAATTGAGAGCTAACCACATTCGGGAGGCACTGAGGCCTGTCACGGAGGGAGAGCGGGCCCAGGGCAGGGAGTAGAGCTGGGTAGAGGGCAGCAATTCCAGGGAAAGAATGGAAAGTGCCAGAACCAAGCATAGAGGGAGGCAGGGCAGAGTAAAGGCTGAACTCCGTCTTCAGAGAAGTTGTCCTCTGATGGGAAGGTAAAAAACCCTGTCTGGAGTCCCACCTCTATTTCCATAGAACTTTGCCCAGTGAAGATATGACTGTCTTTCCAGCCCCTGGTGTCAACCCTATAAGAGGAAGTGATGGGACCCGCCACCTGAGGCGCTCCCTCTGGAGTCTGGGGGCTCCTCCCACACTGTAGGGTGTGGCTTGGCTCCTCAGGACGCCTCAGCAACTCCTGCAGGCTCAGGGCCTCCTGGAGTCCGGTCCTTCTCCCTGGGGTGGCCGCCTCCTCGCTGGTTCCTGTGAGAAGGCTGCTGCCACCTGGCCAGTCCCTCCCCAGAGGCCTGACTGTCCCCAGGACTCTCAGGTCACAGGCTAGTGAAGTATCCAAAGAAGACTCCTCATCCTCCACCTTCAGAGGCCAGGCCAGGTCTTGAGGACCCAGAAGAGGGAGAGCAGCCCAGGAGAGCCCAGGATGGTCAGGAGCTAAGCCAGGAGTCTGTTCCTAGAAAAGAAAAGGAAGGGGGAAAGAGAAGAGGTGTGAGAAGGTTCCTCTAAACCATGTCACCTAGTGAGGCTTCTTCCAGCAAGAAAGAAGGCACTAAATCATCTCTGAATTTTGAGTGGTCCTTGGCGCTGGGCGTGGGTGCCTGGACCCCCTTAGGGCTTTATTTGGACTTGAGATTCACTCAGGAGTTCTGCAGCTTCTCACTCACCTCTCCCAGGCTCTAAAGCCAGGTGCTGCCCCCGTCAGACTAACCCGTTGGAGAACTTCATGTAGCCGCCATCTGGACTGCTGATATGGCCACTGATGGTGAAGGGTGGCCCCACTTCCAGATCCTTCAGGGTCCTGAGAAAGGTTATCTTATTAAGCTCCTAGAGCCGAGAACCCAGCCTCTCCCTGGGGCTGCGTATCCCTGGTCTAGACATAGGAAGACATTCCTGGCTGTGGGGGCCGTCTCCAGGTAGCTGACTCACTGACCTATCTTCCAGAATAGGACTAGCCCCATTTCTCAGGGCCAGGAGGAGCAGGACTGCGGGAAATAGATGAGATGACTCAGCCCAAGAGGACCTTCTGACTCCAGCTCCCCTCTTCTCTTTCTAGAGGGATGGGTGGATGGATAGAGGGATGGGTGGATGGATAGAGGGATGGACGTTCCCTGCCTGAGAATGATCCCTGCTAAGAGGATCACTGTCATTAGGATCTCACATGGTTCTCTCTATGCTCAAGTTTTTCATGGAACTTTTCCAAATGGATTCTATTTGGTTTGTGTAGGGGTACGGAAAGGAGATGGGAAGGGAAACAGTAAGTTCTGGCTCCATCTTTGAGTCTTTCTTCATCATACTTAACCCCCAGTGCACACCCCACCCAGATCAGCTCTGTATCTACTCACCGGATTTGGTACAAGTTGAAGACAAAATTAGGCCCTGGGAAAACAACCAAAAAGAGAGTTAGTAACTCCAGGGAAACTGCCAGGACCCTTCCAGAATGATCTGGTACTCCCTCACCCCTGTCTGGAGGAGCAGATGACTAGGCCTTGGGATGCCCTGTGAGGGCCCAAGGCTTCTAAGGGCCCTGCCCCTGTTGGGAGGGAGGCAGTACCAGCCTAGAGTTCAAAAGAACCAGGCCTCCTCGGTTTCAATCCCACTCCATTCTTTTCCACCCCTGTGACTTTAGCCTCACATCCTCCTCTACTTCAAAAATGGAAGCTATAATAACTTTGTCCTCCTGTGGAATTTTTTAAAAAGAATAATATTAGGCAAAACATTGTAGGTGCTTAACAAATATTTGTAGACACCGGTTAAAGTTTACTATAGATCTAAGAAATTTTCACTACCTCTCGTCATTCCATCATGTCCCTCCCACTTTCCCAGAGTCCTATGAAAAGCACAGATTTGTCCCTAGAATTGAAAACACCTCAGTGAATTCCAGGAGACTCCCGGGGAAGCTGGAACGTCGGCACGCTTAGGAGAGGACCCAGGACCCACGGATGGGGCAGGGTCTCCCAGGAGCCAGACAGGACCACCTGGAACTTGGCCTGCCAGTCCCTTGCCCTTGGCCTTGAGGGCCCACACAGGCCCCTGGGAGAGACCCCTGTGGGCCATGAAGAAAGGGGAAGCTGGCTGTTTGCTGGGGTGGGAGGAGCCCCCATTCTTTCAATAAAGGTCACATTGCCCCACCCCAGCCAGTTCAGCGCTCAGCTACCCAGTCAAGGCTTCAACCACAGAACTGCCACAGGAAAGAATTTTGCATCCCGCAGTGCTTCAAGACTGGCAGTTCCGCTGCCTTGGCAACCGCTACAGGACAGGTGGGGCCGGGCAGAGCTGGGGTGACGGGGGCCAGTGCTCACTTACCCTCCCAGCAGTACCCACGCTGGTACCACTTGGCCAGGCTGTAGCCGAGGATGGACACGAGCAGCAGTGACAGCCCCACGCTGAGGATCAGGCCCAAGGTGCTAATGGAGTCCTCCCCTGCAGAGGGACACAGCAGCCTCGAGTCCTCTCACAGCCCCTCGCACTGGCTGACCTGCACCATGGGCCACTGCCCATCAAAGTCACTATCCCCTGGAAGTCTCAATCAGAGCTAGTTCACTCAGCCTGACCACACTACCATATAAAACTCAGATACTTAAATTGTTAGAGTAAGACATGCAATAGTTAATCCAAAGGAAGTGACCTCTGATAACAGCTTGGAGCTGGGAGGCCTTCCTGAATCCTCAGGCATTCTGCTTGATGGAAAAGTCACTGCTGTTGGGGGACGAGCCCGGGACATCCAGCCTTGGTGTGAGTGAGGTGGCTGGGAGGGGCAGGCTGGAGACGCCCAAGAGCACAGACCCGAGTAACTGCTTTCCCCTGCCCGCTCTTCAAAGCCCATGTGCCCAGCAGCAGGGTGAACCCTGGGCTCTGCCTGCTGCTGGTACTTGCCCCTTCTTCCCTTTTTGTGGTATGAGCACTTGGCTAAATTTATATTTTGTTTGTAAAGCTTCACCAAGAGAAGGAAACAGACTGGAAATATGTGGGGCCAGAGACGAGAGAAGCAGAAGCAGAGGGAGACAAGGTTCTGAGGAGAGGCTGAGGGTAGGCGCACCATGGGACAACCCACCTGGGGTCAGGGTGCTCATGAAGGGGAGAGCAGACCCCTCCAGCCCCATGAGGCACCAGGACTGTGGCAGAGCACGATGATTTGCCTCCTTGACCTAATGGCTTGAGGGGTGTTGCCTAGAGGTCAAGAGGTGCACTGGTCAGGCCCAGACCCTGGGTGCTGGCTAGCATCTGAAATCCAGCTCTGTCACTTGCCAACTCTGGGGCCCATGTCGCTCCCTTCACCTTGCTAACAGTCAATTGCCGTGGTGCAAAGTGAGACTAAAATAAGTACACATAGAGTTATTGTGATGATGAAGGGAGACGTTGAGGAAGGAGCACTGAGAAGAGGTCCTGGCACACACAAAGTGCTTAATAGATGCTGGTCATATCATTGTTGTTGTTGTCATTAACATTATCAATAATGCAAATACATTTTTATTTGCTTTTTATTTATTCTGGTGGTGGGGATTGAGCCCAGGGGCACTTTATCATTGAGCCACATCCACCAACCCTTTTAATTTTTTTATTTTGAGATAGGGTCTCACTCAGTTGCTGAGGCTGGCTTTGAACTTTCGATCCTGCTGCCTCAGCCCCCCAAGTGGCTGGGATTACAGGTGTGTGCCACTGCACCCAGTTTGCAAGTACATTTTTAAATACTTCACAGTTCTCCCCACCCACACCTTTCTGTCTTTCATGCCCCTTGGTCCTTGCCGTTAAAGCAGCCATGTGAAAAGAACATGACCACCAGATGCAGAGAAAAGGGAGTCTCTCCTCTGTCTTTAAGGGATCTGTCCCCTGGAAATCTCAATCAGAGCTAGTTCACTCAGTCCAGGCCCTTAGAGAAACACAAAGAATTCACAGTATAGACAAAAAATAAGTGAGCCTAAGATTTACCTTCTTGGTCAAACTGTTATTGCAGTTTAGCCAATATAATTACTAATATTATTTCCTCCCCTGGGATCCTCAGCAGCTCAAGAGCTGGATAAAAAGAGGAAGCAAGAGATGACACAGTCTAAGGAAAAAAAAGGTATAGGGAGCGACCACCAGTTTCTCACTGGAGGGTTCTTCTTCCTGCGGAGGAGGGTGTAAACCACCTGAAAACTTAAAAGTCTGAAATAATTAGTGAAGAACAAAAGACAAAGAGTCAGAAATGTATTTACAAAAGCAGAGCCCCCTGATAGGTCCATTCCACACGAGAGCTGGAAGTAGACAAAGGAAAGACGGCTCCAGTGGTTTACTTAGGGGGTACATTAAAGGCAGGGATAAGGTTAAGGGGCAGAGTCATGCTTCAGGATATCTTGTAGTCAGCAGGTTGATTGGCATCTTGGCAGGTCACACCTGTCTCAGGTGCTGTGTGGGACTTGGCAGAGTGGGATAGGAATTCACAATGTGTCAGGGCAGTTAACCAGAGGAAGGGTCCACTGGTCATTCCCAGACACAGATGCTCTTACCACATGAAGCCCATGGATGGCTCCCCACAGAAAGGCTTAGCCGATGCCAATATTGGAGTCCAGCACAGGAGCCAGCCACAGTGCCCCAACCCAGAACCCAAGAACAGCTTAGAAGCGGCTGCGATGGTCTGAACTCATCCTCCAAAATTCATGTTTAAATGTAATGGCTAATGTGATAGTATCTGCCATGTGAGGACAGAGCCCCCACCTACTTGGAAGGACACAGTCACAGGATGCCTTGTTAAACAGATAGCAGCCCTCACCAGACACCAAACCTGCCAGAACCTTGACTTCCCAGCCTCCAGAAGTGTGAGAAATAAATTTCTATTCTTTACAAATTAGCCCCAGTCTCAGGTGTTTTGTTATAGCAGTACGAATGGAGGAGAAGCAGAGCAGTGGCCTGTTGAACTGGAAGGTGCCTGAGGGGAGGCAGGTGCAGGTGGGTGGGGAGGGGAGTGGACCATGTAGCAGCCCCTTGCAAGGCCAAGCAGTTCTTTTTTTTAATATTTATTTTTCAGGTGTAGATGGACACAACACAATGCCTTTATTTTTATGTGGTGTGAGGATCGAACCCGGGTCCCGCATGTGCTAGGCGAGCACTCTACCGCTGAGCCACAATCCCAGCCCCTCTGGAAGTATTTGATCTTATCTTCTCTGCGCCAGGCACTGTTGCAAGCACCTGAATTACAGCAATAAGTAGAGCCAATAAAAATCCTTGTCCTTATGGAGAGTGCATACCAGTGGAGGAAACAGGCAAAGCACAAAGAAATAAATTACATGGCACCCGAGAAGGAGGTGCCTGCTAGGGGCGGGGAAGCAGAGAGAGTACTGTGAGGGTGGAGGGGACATTTTAAATAAAGTGGCCAGGGAAGGCCTTGTGGAGAAGGCACAACTGAAGAGCAGAGATGTAAAGGAGGTGAGAGAGTGTTGAGAGGCTGTGGCTCTCAACAAGAGAGAGAAAGAGAGAGAGACGGGGGAGGCCATGCAGATACCAGGTAGGAACGTGCTAGGCTGCGGAAGCAGTAGGTACAAGGGAGACAGGAGCAGGGCCCGCAGGCCCAGGAGCGCAGGGCAGCCCTAGTGGGGAACCAGAGAGCAGTAGAGGAGGTGGTTATGGGAACCACTCCTGGGGTTCCTGGAAGGCAATGAGGGGAACTTGGCTTTTCCTCTGAACATGATGGGGAGTCCTAGAGGACTTAGAGAAAGGACATGACCTGAAGTTTTGAAAAGATGTCACCAGCTTGCTACTGTGTGTCAAGAATAGACAGGGCAGAGATGACTGAAGACGTGTTACTGAGGCAACTGAATAACCCCTGCAGCTTCACCTGCTATAAATTAACTTAAAAATCATTAATTTGGGAGGTCACACCACTGGACGATACATTATTAGTCTCCTACTGGCTTTGCTGTAGGCAGCACTTCTAATGTGGGTTTTGATGGGAACGGTTGCCTAGGTTACTGTGCAGGGACCTGAAGGCCACTTTTGCTGAAACACTGACTCTTCCCTTGGGCCTGCCGAGGTCCCGCGGGTGGCTGCAGCAGGATGAAAAGCTTGTCACCTCTGCCTTCATACTGTGTCTGTTGCCTTTGCTGCCTTAACCTTTGGGTCAGATTTTACTCATCTTTCCATGTACATGGGGATGTTCTTTCCAATGCTGATCAGCTGAGAAATGTTTTGTCCAGAACTATAATATAGGGTTAAGTTGACCTAGACTTACCAAGTCTCTTTTTTTCCCTCTTCAAGACAAAAACCATCTATCATCTGCCATGTCCAGAAACACCAGACCATGAAAAAAGCAAAAAGAGGTAGAACCCTAGTTCCTAGAAGATCTCAGCCTATTTCCAAAAAAGACACGAATATCCCTTCCCTTCCTTAGACTCTCTCCCTCATTATTCCTGACCTGTATCTGTAACCCTTCAACTCCTTGGAGTTGAGAAGTTGATTTGCAAGCACAGCTCCTGCTTCTTTATTCTTTGGACACTATTTGAATAAAGTTCTTTCCTTTCCCATCACCTCTTGAGTCTCTGGCTTTATCAAGTGGCAGCAGAATCAGATTTTTTTTCCTGTTATAGAAAAACAGAAAAGGGGGGCTAACTGCAAACATCCAAGCAAGCAATGATCTTTGCAAGAAAGTAGGGCAAGAACTAAGACGGGGTCAAAGAAAGGTCATCTAAGTGGGTGATCAAGAGAGGGAGAGTGACCTAAAAGTTCAGGTCTTTAAGAACTAGGGAGTGGTGACCCAGTGGGCAGGGCCCGTGACTCAGCACGGTGTGATAGTAGTACTGGTAGTGTTTGTGGAAGTTGGGGTTTTGAAGGGTTTCATCAGAGGAATGTCAACCAGGGGTTGAAAGTACCAGAGGAAAGCACCAGCAGGGGAGTCCCGGGCCTTCCTGACATCCAGAGGAGAGGCAAGGGAGCTGCTGCTCTTTGACCACCCCTCCTCCCAGGAGCGCCTTTGGCCTACAGGAGCTGGCCTTTCGAGGATGTTCCCTTAAGTAATATTCCTAGTCACCCTTTATCTACCCTTTCACTTTTATTATAAAATGTTTCATGCATGTAAGTACATAGAATACCATAATTAACATCCATGTAGTTATTACCAATTTTAAAAAGGTTCTAAAATTTGCCATTATTTCTTCTAAAGCATCTCAATCTCAGAGTAGTCCTTTCTTCTCACTCCCTTTAAGTAACTGGTCTCCCAAATTTGTTTATCTTTCCTATGCACATTTTTAATTCTGTTGCTTCATAGTTTTTCCATAAATCCTATAAAAATGGTAGTAGAAATACTTCTGCTTCCAGCCATCGTGGAATAATAGGGACCCAATTTACACTCCCATCTTCAATAACTAGAAAACCAAGCAAAATATGTAAAACAAGTTCAAGGTAGTAAAGGACGGTGGTCCTGAAGGAAGAAAATGAAGTGAGCCATCCTCTGAGATTGCCCAGTTTACTGTCCAGGTGAATTTCCAAAACCTAGTACAGGGAGGAGGAACCCAGAGAAAGCCCAGCTCAGTCTGAAGTTGAGGAGACAAAATCTGGAAATCAAGGCAGTTAGCCAAAACCCCAGAGAGGAGGGAGTTGGACAGAGAGAATGATTTCCAGAAATCCATCAGCAAAGGGGACCTCAGAGTCTTGGGCTGTGGCTTGTCTTTTAGTTTTACTTTTTTTTTTGAGCAGATTTTTAACTTTTATTTTGGTCCAATTTGTCCATATTTATATTTCTTATAAATCTTAAAAAACTCATCACTAGTTGGATATATACCCAAGTTTTAAAAGTTTGTTTTTAATAGTTATCCTTTACCCAGCATTCATTTGTTATTATATCCATTCCATAATTTTTATATGGAAAATTCGTTTTCTTTCTTTTCCCTAATACTCTTCATTGCTGCTGCATTCAAGTTTAACAGAAATGTACGCTTCTTTTTCTGGACTTAATACTATCTTCTGCTGCCATAAGTGTCTATCATTTACCATTCCTACATTGTTTTATTTACCTATGGGCTCATAATATATCTTGATAGCTGGTAAACTTAAACACTCCAACTTATCCTCCCTCAAAAGCATATTAGTTATTTCGCTACTTTGTTCTTTCTTGCAAATTTTGACATTAGTTTTC